TGGCAGGAGGAAAGGTGGGTTTGTGTCATCTGGGCTAAAGACAAACAATCCTGCTTGGGTCGGGGAGGGCGACTCTCCTGCAACCAACATTCTGCCTTTCAATAGGTCAAGCAAGATTATGCTGTTGTTTCTCCAACAGCCCTGTGGGCACTGTCTTTTGTTTGCCACTTGGTGTAATGTATTCTGCCTCCCTGCCCCAAAGAGGCCGGGTAGTCTGAGGAGGAGGAGATTGGATTTATACCCCGCCCTTCACTACCGAAAGGTGTCTCAGAGCGGCTTACAAACTCCTTTTCCCTTCCCCCTTCCCACAACAGACACCCTGTGAGGTAGGTGGGGCTGAGAGAGTTCTTGACAGAAACTGCTCTTTTTCAAGAACAGCTCTTATCAGAACTATGGCTTGCCCAAGGTCATCCAGCAGGTACAAGTGGAGGCGTGGGGAATCAAACCCGGTTCTCCCAGATTAGAGTCCGCGCACTTAACCACTACACCAAACTGGCTCTCAGGGGGGGGGGTGCTCTTCCCCTGCTGTGGTTCCCCAAAGTGGTGACAGGAAATAGCCCGGGCAGCCTCAGTAGCATTCCTTGCACCAGAGTGAGGGGGTCTGAGGGAGCAGGAGGCAGTAAGGAGAGGTCCGTAGAGGGGTCTGCGTACTCACTCACTGCTGGGGGTCTCGGTGCTCCAAGGAAAGAAAGCTGCCCCTCCCCTCCGGATGGTAGGATAGGTGGCAGAAGTGGCTCTTGGTTGCCAGAAGCCGGTGTGTGTGTGCGTGCTATGAGGACTCCTTTGGGCAGTCCTCGGACGCCGTGCCAGGAAGCAGGGAACAGGAAGGAGCACAGGTGGCTTTCAGCACTATGTGGGTTGAAGCAGCATGCCTCTGTGTGTGAATAAAAACAGTTGTGTGTGTGGGGGGGGAGGGCCTGCTTGTCTTTGTTTTTCCAGTCAGCCCAATCTTCGACTGAGGCATTCCCCTACTGTGTGTGGAGAAAGGAGGAGTGCTTCTTCTTGGGTGGCGCTTTTAATCGATGAGATGACCTTCGGAGCACTGCAGCCCCCCGTCCCTGTCAGGTTGGACAGGTGTGCGGAAGCCGC